CGAACCTTAAGCACTATGTCAAGGACTTTTGATGAGGAACAACGAGAAAATCTCTTTCAAACTCATTGCATAATTGAAGGCGAAGTGTGTAGCCTCATTATTGATAGTGGGAGTTGCACAAATATTGTAAGTGAACTTGCTTTTCGAAAATCGAATTTGCTAACAACACCCCACCCCAAACCATTCAAATTGTAGTGGGTTAGCAATTGCGGAGAGTTGAATGTGAACAAGCAGGTGACAGTTCCTATCAAGATCAAAAATTATGAGGATGAAGTCGTTTGTGATGTGCTACCGATGCAAGCTTGTCACGTATTACTTGGGAGGCCATGGTAGTTTGATAGAAAGGCTCATCATGATGGATATTTGAATAGATACTCATTTGAGTTTGGGAGTAGAAAGATATGTTTGAAGCCGTTGTCTCCAATGGATGTCCATGAGGACCAACTCTACATGCATCGTCAATTTTTGGAAGAAGCCAAAGAAAAGAGAGAAAGGAAAAAGAGTGAAAAAAATAAGAGTGAAAAAAGTGAGCATGGGAGTGAGAAAAGTGAGAGCGAAAAAAAAATAAGAGTGGCAAAAGAGAGCAAGTGAGTGAACAACGCAAGAGTGAGCTTGAAAGAAAAATGCTTATGAGCTTGAGAGAGGCAAAAAATTTGAAAGTTCATAAGGGAAATTCTTATTTACTTTTTATTAAACCTGTTTATTTGTCTAAGCAAGAGCTAATAGAACTCCCTTCCAATGTTGCTTCTCTTTTGCAGGAATATCAAGATGTGTTTCCTGATGAAGTAACCGGAGGATTACCACCTATTCGGGGCATTAAGCATAAGATGGATCTCATTCCGGGTGCATCAATTCCAAATCGTCCAGCTTACAAGGCAAGTCTAGAGGAAGTCAAGGAAATACGTAAGCAAGTGGATGAGTTGCTTGAGAAAGGCTGGATTCGCGAAAGCCTAAACCCTTGTGATGTACCGATTCTTCTTGTCCCAAAGAAGGATGGTAGGTGGAGGATGTGCATCGACTGTCGAGCCGTAAATGCCATAACGGTAAAGTATCGACACCCTATCCCTCATTTAGATGATATGCTAGATGAACTGCATGGGTCAAAATACTTTTCTAAAATTGATTTGAAAAGTGGATATCATCATATTAGAATGAGGGAAGGTGACAAATGAAAAACTGCATTTAAAACTACATTCGGCTTATATGAGTGGTTAGTCATGCCTTTTGGTCTTACGAATGCTCCAAGTACGTTTATGCGGTTAATGAATCATGTATTACGTACCTTCATAGGGAAGTTTGTTGTGGTTTACTTTGATGATATTCTCATTTATAGTAAATCAATGGAAGAACATGTAGAGCATATTTGTAGTGTTTTGGAAGTGTTAAGAGCTGAAAAGCTTTATGCTAACCCGAAGAAGTGCGACTTTTGTGTCGACAAATGTATTTTTCTTGGTTTTGTTGTAGGTGCTGAAGGGATAAGTGTGGATGAAGCTAAAACACAAGCTATTCGGGATTGGCCAACACCTAAAACGATCAAGGAAGTTCGTAGTTTCCTTGGACTTGCAAGCTTTTACCACCGCTTTGTGTGAGATTTTAACTCCATTGTAGCACCACTGACTGAGCTTACAAAGAAAGATAAACACTTTGATTGGGGAGTTTCTGAACAAGCATCTTTCGATTTGCTTAAAAGAAAACTTACTAATGCTCATGTTTTAGCTCTACCTGATTTTAGTAAGCCATTTGAATTGGAATGTGATGCCTCAGGAATTGGGATTGGAGCTATTTTGATGCAAGGAAGGAAGCAGATTGCGTACTTCAGTAAGAAGCTGAGTAGGGCTGCCCTCAACTATTCGACGTATGACCGAGAATTGTATTCGTTGGTTCGTGCACTTCAAACATGGCATCACTATTTGCGATCACAAGAATTCATTGTTCACACTGACCATGAATCATTAAAGCATTTAAAGAGTCAACAAAAGCTTAGCAAGCGGCATGCAAGATGGGTAGCATTCATGGACACATTTCCTTACTCGATTCAGTACAAGAAAGGAAAGGAAAATGTTGTAGCTGATGCGCTATCAAGGAGGTACGGGTTGCTAACATTGTTAGAATCTAAGCTTATGGGATTTGCATTCGTAAAAGATATTTATGTGAATGATGTTGATTTTTCTGATATCTTTGCAAAATGTGCTACGCATGGCTTTGGTGATTATTATTTGCACAATGGATATTTGTTTCGTGTGAATCGTTTGTGTGTACCTAGGTGTTCACTTCATGATGTGTTAGTGGTTGAGGCACATGAGGGAGGTTTAATGGGTCATTTTGGGCGTGATAAGACATTGGGTGCATTGCATGAACACTATTATTGGCCTAAAATGAAGCATGATGTGGAGTCTTGTGTGAATAAATGTGTTGTTTGTAAGATTGCAAAGTCACATGCACAACCACACGGTCTATACACACCCTTACCTATTCCAAAAGCACCATTGACTGATATTTCAATGGATTTTGTTATGGGATTGCCTAGGTCTAGGAGAGGAAATGATTCGATTTTTCTCGTGGTTGATAGATTTTAAAAAATGGCACACTTCATTGCATGTAAGAAAGCCAATGATGCATCTCATATTGCAGATCTATTCTTTCATAATGTTTTGAAATTGCATGGTGTCCCTAAGACAATTGTGTCAGACAGGGATAGAAAGTTTCTTAGTTACTTTTGGAAGACACTTTGGGCTAAATTGGGAACTAAGTTATTATTTTCTACATCTCATCGTCCCCAAACGGATGGTCAAACTGAAACAGTGAATAGAACCTTAGGGAACCTACTTCGTGTCTTGATAAAAAAGAATTGCAAAATTTGGGAAGAATGTTTGCCTCACGCTGAATTTGCATATAATCGTACGTTGCATTCTTCGACACACATGTCTCCTTTTGAGGTTGTTTATGGCTTTAATCATCTAACACCTTTGCATATGTTACCATTGCCTAGCAATGAGTATTTTAATAGTGATGGCAGGAAACGGGCTGAATTTGTGAAGGAGATGCATTCAAAGGTTCGGGATAACATTGCAAAATCAAATGCTCGGTATGCTAAAAGTACTAACAAAGGTCGAAAGCATTAAGTGTTCCATCCAGGCGATTGGGTGTGGTTGCACTTGAGAAAAAGTAGATTTCCCGAGAAACGGAAGTCTAAGCTGAGCCCAAGAGGAGACGGGTCATTCCAAGTTGTGGAACGCATCAATGACAATGCATATCGTATTGAGCTACCGGGTGAGTACCAAGTTCATAGCACATTCAACGTTGCTGACTTAAGTCCTTTTGATGTAGGAGATGAACATGCTATGAAAATGGGGGATTCAATTTTTCAAGAATGGGGGGATGACGAGGTCGTCAAAAGAGACGATGAACATGCACTACCACCAGTCCGATTACTCGAAACCGTGCCAAAAAATTTCAAGCTAATATTATGGCATTAGTTCTACACTTGGAAGAGAAAAGCATGTACAAAGTTGAAGCATGGAGGCCAATGGAAGAGCGTTGTCAACATTGAAGTGCATCCACCCTTGAAGACCACAATTTATAACACCCATGGAGTTTTTACTCACATCATTACCCATGTGGGATAAGAGGTGTTTTATTTTATTTAATAAAGTGGGCCCCTTTAATCTAATTAATTGGACATCTCTTATTTACTTAATTAGTAGGATATAAATAATATATAATTTTGTCCCACATTGGTTGTAGAGTCCTTTTGCCAAGCTAGCCTCCCCTATAAATAAGGCACTTGGCTTCACTTGTTAGACATTTTGAAATTTATATCAATTAAAGTTTTATCTTTGTTCCATTATATTGGAATTAGTGTGTGAGCGAGGGTTACCCTTGCATACGCGTATCATTATCAAATTGGGTCCTTGGGTTGATTCCTTGGGTTCGTGGCTTCCGAAACCGACCAGAGTTTCTAGCCAAATCGTTCGAGTCTTCATTGGTTTAGAGGTGTTGGGTCTAGGCAACGCTTGGGTTCACATCCGATTGATTGACGAATCGGACACCGGTAATATCTTCCCCTTTCTTACTTAGTTTTTTTTATTTGAATTTAGTTTTAAGTTTCGGTTAGTATAGTTTTAATTACTTGGGCTGCATCACCTTGTGTTATGAGGAAAATATTTCTTATCTATATATTTTGCATGGTGGGGGGTTTCATGCAATATTTTTTAAAGTATAAAGGAGTGTCATTCAATTTTTAAAGTAAAAATGGGGATTTATACTAAGTTTTGAAACCATAAAAAAAAAAAATTTTAAGTCTAAGAGTGTGTCACGCAATTTTTAAAGTAAAAGAAAAATTTACGCTGAGTTTCGAAAACCATAAGAGAGTTATATGTGCAATTTAGCCTAAAATTTATTTATATCGCATTAACAATTATACAATATAATATTTTAACAATTCTTTAATTTATTTTAATTATTTTTTATATATTATATTTATATGTTTCTTTTGTCTCCAAATATTAAGTTTCTACTATTTTGATTCTATATTTTTTTAAAAAAATATATCTTTTTAACAAAATATTTTATTATACATTATTTAATATCAAATTTATACTAATTTTTTTTAAACCAAGAAACATGCCCATATTTTTTTAAATGAAAAAAAAAAAAAAAAAAAAAAAAAAAAAAAAAAAGAAAGAAAGAAAGAAAGAAAGAAAGAAAGAAAGAAAGAAAGAAGAAAAAGAAAAAAAAAAAGAAAAAGAAAAAGGTAGGGTGGGTGTAACGGGCCTTGCCCCAAGTACACCCGCCGCCACACCTAGACCATAGGCCCAACAGAGTAGCCGAACATTAGGCTCAGCTATTCCGACAATCTATTATTCCTTGTCCATATTTACGAGGTCGGATACAGACCAGATCGACGTGTTCCACGTGACCCCGTTGACGTACGAAATAGCCGACTTATTATATCTCTCACACTAACATGTGTTAGTATATACATATTCACTCGTGAGTCCTCACACACATAGATAAATACAGCAACAGTGGAGTGCCCCATCTGTTAACTGTTTTTGTCGATTCCTTTCAGATTGGGATGGAAAGCCAACAAAAAAATGTTTTGCTCACCTCCGCCGCCGACGAGGTTTCCCTAAATATCGCCCGCCATCTGGTCCAGCGCGGTTGCCGGTATCTTTATTCTTCTCATTCTTTTTCTACTATGTGATTCAGATGGTGTATGCTCATTATAGATGATGTGTGCCTGTCGAAGGCTGGTTTTGGTGGGGAACGAGGGTCAACTGAGGATTGCGGCGGACAAGATCAGGAGTTCCTTAGACGGCGACGTTTTCATCGAAGTGGTGGGGCTGGATATGGAGGATGAGAGGGAAGCGGTTTTCCATGAAGCTGTGGAGAAGACAAGGAGGATCTTGGGGAGTTTGGATGCCTTCGTCAACTGTTATTCCTATGAAGGTACATTAACAGATTTGTCCATCACTCAATCGGCCGCAATTTTTTGTTAGTCATGTCTCGAAGACTTCTCAATTGAAGTATGATTTTCAACAAGATGCGAACTCTTTGGTTTTTTGCTCATTTATCCTTTATTGATGATAGTCCTAAAATAGTGGGAAAAAAGTAAAAACAAAAACAAAATTAACAAGTGCGTCTGAGTAACAGAAGATCACGTGAGTTGCCAAAGGCCAATCTAGGAACAAGTTTTCAGGAATGAGCATCGTATTTCTTGATTAATGATTTGTCTGTAATGTTCACCTTTAATTGTGCAGTTCAACCCCATTTATGCATGCCCTCTTGCTCTGTACTTCTTATGCAAGGGCTGATGCACAACCCCTCCTTAGAAAGAGGTGGACATCAGCATTTTCAGGCGAAGGCATGGTTTGGTGGTTGCTTACAGTCAAACTCTCCCTTTTCTTAAATGCCTGCAAATAAACCTTTTTACACTTGAGGGAGAGAAACTTGTAAAGCCAGGAAACTATTTCTGCTTGTTCCTGCCAATTATCCTACCTTTAATGAACAAAGGAGGTGTTTGTTAAATTTTTACAAGCTCACGTATGTTATTGCATTAGCTCATCATGCCCTTGTCCACTGGTGAGCCATGACCTTTTCTGTAGGAGTTGTTAATAATGATTGTTCATGTGATCTATGAACCCTTGTGTAACAATTTGATTCTCTGAAAAATTCCCTCTATTACTTGTCCTTACTGTCTGTGGGATACTTGGCTATGCATATGTTAGAATTCTGTTCTTTGCTTTAGGCTCCAGGATCGACAGACTTATTTCTGATGTTTTCTTGGTTATCCTGCCTTATTTTGGGTGAGAAATTGCAAAATCTGATTGTCTAGAAACTAGTTAATCTAAATGTCCTGTGAGAATTCGATAGATAAGCCTGCTTGATCACATTGAAAACTATATATACTACCACATATTAGCATCATATTTTGTCATTAATTATCAATCACATTGTACATGTAAGAGACTCTAGAAATATGTCAAATGTTTGCACAAACCTGCTGTGGAACATTTAATCCCAAGTTTCAAACTCCGTCCACTATACTCCCACATACTGTCATCCGTAGCTTTGAAATATCCAAATGCCATATCTTCTTTTACAACCATCACCTTCGAATATCCAAAACAGGTAAGATGCAAGATCCCTTGTCTTTACCTGCAAGTGAATTCAGAAAGATAGTCAAGACCAATTTCATGGCGCCATGGTATCTCTTGAAAGCTGTTGGTAAAACCATGCGGGATCAGAAATCTGGGGGATCTATTGTATTCTTGACCTCTATAATTGGGGCTGAAAGAGGGCTATATCAAGGTGCAGCAGCATATGGTTCATGTTTGGCTGGAATCCAGCAGCTAGTAAGGGTAAGTGCTTTGCATATACTTGACTATCAACTGGCTGTATGAATTCATATTATGTCACGAGAACATGCAAAACACACACAAACACCACACATATAAAATGAACTTTTAACATTCCTCTGTCCATTTATCTTTTCTTTTCAGATGTGGGATAATGAATTGGTGCAGAACATAGTAGATGGATTTTAACATGCTAGGTAGTTAAAATGCCTAGTTGCGTTTAATGATTTTTCAAACCATTCCTCCCAATCTGCTTATTCTGTTATGATTCATATCATTTTTTGTTCTCCTCTGTGTCCTCATTGTTTCATCCAATTTTGTGAATAGTACTGAGAAAACATTGTTTTTATTTAGCACCCAAGAAATGAAGATTGACAAATATATGTGTGTGACAAAAATAGAATATGAAGGGAGGGATTTCTGGAAGAGGGTTTTAATTCATTTGTTGCTGAGCTGTAGCTTATGTGAATTATTGCTTCAATAATGTTCTGAATACACATACAGTGAAAACTATGGCGATCATTGTTTGCATGTAAGCTGTCCTACTGCAAACAAGCATCACCTCTGGTGCTATTATTGTTGTTTAAATACACTTTCTTTGTCACGTTCTCTTATATTTTCGGAAAGAAATAGCAGAGATCTGCAGAAGAATATTTCAGACAATTGGTATATGTAAGTGATTATGTTGGCATGAAAAGTTGATGGATAACGATAACGAACATTGTTTGTTGGCAGACATCTGCACTGGAGATTGGGAAGTATCAGATAAGAGTGAATGGCATAGCCCGAGGGCTACATCTTGACGACGAGTTCCCTGTATCAGTGGGGAAGGAGAGGGCACAAAAACTGGTTAAAGAAGCGAATCCGTTGCACAGGTGGCTTGATGTTAAGAATGATCTGGCCTCAACAGTGATTTACTTAATCAGTGATGGGTCGCGGTACATGACGGGGACAACCATATTTGTGGATGGCGGCCAGTCACTGGTGAGGCCTCGGATGAAATCTTACATGTAAAGAAAAAGATTGAGCCTAACTATCTACATGCATTTTGGTAATAAGTCTAGTCGAGATCCCATCCTATAATTGTTTGTTTGTTTGTTTTATGTTTGGTGTGATAATAATAATAATCAAAATGTCTGGAGCTAATGAAGCCCTGCTGGCTGGCTGCTGGTATTTGAAGGGTCCTGTCGTCGTGCATATGCTTTAGTGGTGTAGATTTTCAACGATGATAACTTGTTCGATGTTTACTAGTCTTAGTTAATTTGTCTCGTGTGTGTGACTGCGACAAATATAAAAGCACGTGCGGGTATACATTGAACAATATTCATGGTCATGGATTTGGTGAAGACAAATCAAAGAGCAGCATTGATACACACACACATACTACTAATCCATGACAATTTTAGATTTGGCTTACAGTGGAAGAAAGTTCAATCGTAATTCATTCCAAACATACATACACATGCACCTATCTATCTCTCTGTCAAGTACTATATGCTGAAATAACAACCCTAGTGTTAAAGAGCCAATTTTTGGCGTTACTTTATTTATTTATTTATTTTTTAATTTTTTTAATTTTAAAAATTATAAATTTGATTTTTAAATTTAATTTTTATTTTTTAAAATTTTTTAAAATTTTATTTTAAATTATAAAAATAAAAAATTGTTTAAAATAATTGGAAAAATTGAATATTTGAAGAATAATAGTAAAAAATGGAGTTATGATTTGAGTAAAATTACTGTAGCAACTATTTAGAGTTAGAAGTTAAAAAATGAAGTTATGAGTTGAAGATGACCTAAATTAAAAAATGGCAGCACACAAAAATAAGTGTTTGCAAAAAAATTTTAAGAGCTTTTAACTTATTAAAATTTTTATTATTTAACCAGTTAAAAATCTAATTTATGTGTGTTTCATAAATTAGTTTTTTTAAAAAGCTTTTTGGATTCAAAAAACTAATTTACTAGGCATTTTAGAAGAGTTTTTTCACTCTAACTTTGTTTATCTTTTATTTACCTTTAAAATTAATTATTTATTTCATATATATATAAATATATTTTTATTACAGTATTTATTAATTATTTTTAATATATTAATTTATTAAATTATAATTTTTATTTTTTTAATTTAAAATAATTACTATTATTAATTATTAATCATTTTATTTGTAAAATATAAAATCTATTAAACTTAAATTTAATAGAAAGACAAATATTATTAATTTATTTATATATGTTTTTTACTATATAATTTTATATTAAAAATCAATAAATAATAATTAACATAATAAATATATATACGAAAAGATTTACTATTTTATATTTTATATAATTTCAATGAAAAATTATTATTGTTTTTCTAAAAATATCTAAAAAATAAAAAATAAATAGTTTATAATATTTTTCTAGTTTTCAATAATTAATAACAAAAATTCAAACAATTTCGAATCCGCTTTGTCTACGAACAAGGGTTGAATCTCTCTTTGATTGATCAACGTGTGTAGTGAATTAACTAACTACCTAACAGCTAATTATCATCTAATTGTTAAATGTGTATATAGGCTTTGTTTACCTAACAAATTTTGACTCATTTGATACTATTCATTTAAAAAAATATATCTCATCAAAAAAATCTGATTAATACTCCCTCAATTTTATATATTTTATCTAGTTTTTACATTTCAGTCCACCTTACATCTTTTGTTATGTTTTTTTAAAAAAAATATATGATATTTTATAACAAAAAATATATGTTGTTTACGTCCATAATAGATGATATGGTGGTGCGGAGATAGACTCATGACTGGGGTTTCCACGTTATAAAAATAAATATATATTGTTTATCTTTATAATAGATGTTGATCCGGTCAAATTAACACCATGAAATCCGTGCTTATTAATATATTATAATTAGATTGTTGTAGTGGTTTGAAGTTAAAGGGCTTTAATCCTAACCTAATTTGTTTATTTGTTATGTCAAAATTTGTGTCGAATTGTTGCGTCGGGTTCAAATTAAGAATTTCGGTCCTAACCTTATTTGTTTATTATCACGTAAAGTTTGTGCCAGTCTCGGATTCATATCGAATTGTGGCGGGTCAATTTTTGCGAACTCTGGGAATGTTTGTATGTGTATGAGAGGTGAAGTGATTAATATATATATATATATATATGAGTATTATTAGTTGTGAACAAATAATAAACCTTTTGTTGATACCAAATAATAATAATAATAATAAGATTTTTATAGGTGTGTGGAAGTCTGATCAATATAATTGAAGGAACACGTCATTGGTTTGAATTAAAGTGTTTTTTTTTTTTTTTTTTTGGTTTGTTTGTTAATATCTAACTAATACTCCATCCGTCCCACATACCATGTCGATGTTGTCGTTTCTGTCCGTCCCATATACCATGTCACTTTTTTTTTGAAAAATGATTATGCATTTTAATCTCATTTTAAACTTTTTAATTTTATTTTTTTTAAAATTTTAATTAAACTAATTAGTTATCTTAATCTTAATTTATAATTATTTATATTATCGGATAATTATTTTCACTAATACATTATTAATTATCTACTAATTACGCTCTTCTTAAAATACCGTGTTTACAGTGCAGCAGACATGGTACGTGGGACTGTGGGAGTAATATTGAATAATTATATTGGTTTGAAATTAGTTGAGGATGGGAGGGTGGTGATGTTGGTTTCAGTCATATTCCACCCATACCCATTTATAGAATTCTTCATTCTAATTCACGTGTCTTCCACAATTACATTGCCTTAATTAATTTCCATACCACACGCAGTACCACGCTATTTTGTATTGCATTCATGTAGAAACAGTTTTTGAGATTCCAAAGTAACTTTTGAAATAAATAAAAATATTTTTTTAATAAAATTACGGTTTTACCTTTAATAATAATAATAATAATAATAAATACAATACTATAATACTAATGTAAAAATAATGAATTTATATGTTATAGTTGAATTAAAATTTACAATTATAATTGAAATATTAAATTTAGATAGAAGTATATCATTTTTTTTAATTATACTAAAATTATTAAATATAATTTATAAAATTTTAAAATAAAGTTCTAAATACAAATAATTTAATATTAAATTGTAATTTTATTTTTAATTTATATATTATCGTTAAATTAAAACTTTAAAATTTAAATAACTAAATTTAAATATATATATATTATACTTTAATTTAAAATCTATAAATATAATAAATAAATTTTAAAAGTAAATTATAAAAATTTTATAAAAAAAATACAATTATATTAATAAAAACATATAACATTCAAACTACTTTTTCATATATATATATAAAAAAAAAAAAAAAAAAAAAAAAAAAAAAAAACTATTTTTATAACTATTCATTTAAACTTTTGACTTCTTTGTCCTCTAAATTTAGTCCCTTTTTTTTTATATATAACACAAATCACATTTAATAATATATATATATATATATATATGCTCCATTCACCCTCTAAATTTAGAGATTTTTTTTTTTTTTTTTTTTAACACAAATCACCTTTAATAATATATACTCTCTAAATTTACTAAATTTAAGGGACTTACAGAATATATAATCAGTTACATCCTACTTATTATTCATCAATCTCACATAAATAAGTCATATTTTTTATTTCATCTGTATAGTATAATTGTTTTTTTTAAAAGAATATAATTATGCACATTAATCAAATTTTAAAAATTCAGAAGTTATAATTTTTTAAATTTTAACTAAATTATTTAGTTATTTTAACAGTAATCAATAATATTGACAATTTATTTGGGACAGATGGAATGTTATATTAAATCATATATCACACAACACAAAACAATCATGAGTTAATTATTAATCACTTTATCGACATAGATCATATACTAGGCGTAGCTAACTAAATCGTTGTCCTCCCGATACGCAAACACACACGTGTGCGTATATATGAATGTATAAATGTAGGCTCTCGATCAGTCAGTAGAGATGAAAATAAATCAAGTCAGGACGAGCTTTGGATAAATAGACCAGATCTATTTTGAAAAATTGAAATCTAATATGGCCTATTAAATTAAAATAAAATGACTTTAAAGTTTAAATCTGACCTATTTTAGAGCATATATAGCCTATGAACCTATTTAAAAAACTTATATAATAATTATATTTTTTAAATTTAATATTAGTAAAAAATATATATAAATACACTTATTATTTTATGTGTATATATAATAAAATAAATCAATTTTATATTTAATTATTATCACTAAATTATTATTTTTAAATATAAATTGTTAAAAAATATAATAATTTTATATATTAAATCAAAATTATATGACCCGATAAACTTAAAAAACTTTTTGTAAAATATTAATTAGAATACATTTGAATTGAGTTTTATAAAATAAATAGGTTCAAACCGTATACCTTTTATAGGCATCTGACCTATTTTTACCCTCTCATAGGTAAGGGTATTTTACCGGTGTATTTATTCGGGGGTTTGGATAAATTTTGAATTTGAATAGTTGTACGACGTAATATAAATAGGTGTTGATGTGATGTTTTAAATATAAAATTGATTTTTAGTATAATATAAAAAATAAAAAATAAGTATTTAATTTGATATTTTTAAAAAATAAAATAAATAAATAGTAAATTTAAAATTCAATCCTTCGACAAACACACCCTACATTTATTTAAAATAATCAAGTAGTAAAGTAGGTTAGATATACATGCATATCTGCATTATTAATTATTAACTTGGAATAACTATGCAATATCTTGTTTAATTATAATTCGTGTGCGTAATTGACTCTGTATGTCTATATCTATATATATTTATGTTGACGTATGTGTTGACGTCAAGGGCAACATTTTTCTTCCTGAAAAGAAATCGAAAAAAAAAAAGAGAAAAGTAATTGTCATCATCGTAAGGACCAAATGAATGAATATTCAGCAGAATTAGGTAGGAATAAATGAATGAAATTAATGAGCAGAGCGGGGAGCGGACAACGAATGGTTTTTGGGCAGATCCATTAAAATTCATTCGTACGGATTGAAGCCGCCGCCCCCAATTTTTCCAAAGTCCAATCGCATCGATCATCATAATGTAAAACTATATATATATATATATATATCCTCAGACCACCCTTTTTTATCTTACAGTCTTGATATACATCGCATCCGATCTAGATTGTTTGATTTTATTTTGTTTTGTTTCGTTTACAATGAAGGTCGGGTCGGGTCGGGTCGGGGCGGGTCGGGCCATTCATTCATTATAATACATACTTCCTCTATATAGATATCGGATCATTTCCCTTAATCGGAACTTTCTGCAATTAGCTAAGGCTGTATATTATATTGCTAACTTGTATGGTCTATAGAGTATAGATAGAGAGAGATATCTTGAATATCAATTGCATTGCATGTACGTAATAGGATGACTAGTAGTAGCTAACGTGGGTGGTGGTGGTGGTGTGGCTGGTGGACTATTTTCTTCTTAGATTAGATTAGATTATCATCTATATATCGAAGATGATGTCGTCGGTCAATTCTTATTCTTATTGTAATGGGAGCGCCATGAATAATCATGAGTTGTCGGAGTCAGATGGGTTAGGGTTAACGATGATGAGATTTCAGGCGACGAGGGAAATCCACTTACCCACACCTTGTGCAGAAAAAGTAGCTGAGGAGGATGATGATCAGATGATTATCATGACTAGGAGCATTAATAATGATCATAGGCATAGGCATAGCAGTGGGATATTAAATAGCGAGGATCGTGATCGTGATCGTGATCATGATCATGATCATATGATGATGATGAAGATGAAGATGAAGACGAAGATGAAGATGAGCAGCAGTGCCAGTAGCAAATCATCAAGCTGCGAACGTAGTAGCAGTAGTGCAGGTACAGGTAAGAAGATGAAAAAGGAAAGAAAGCAGAGGTTTGCTTTCCAGACAAGAAGCCAGGTCGATATACTCGACGACGGTTATCGCTGGCGAAAGTATGGCCAGAAGGCTGTCAAGAACAACGTATTCCCCAGGTCAGCTCACCCATGCATTCATTCTTTAATATTCATATTATAAATAATTAATGAGGACATGCATGTATGTATGTATAATTAAGCTTCTCATCTCATCTCATGGCACTTAATCCACAGACATTACTTAACTAATCATTTCCATTCCTACATACTATATATAATTCGATTTAGTGATTGGTGTTGATATAGTATTATTCTGGTTAATTTGCAGAAGCTACTATCGATGCACTCATCAGGGATGCAATGTGAAGAAGCAAGTGCAGCGTCTATGCAGTGATGAGTCGACTGTGGTGACAACATATGAAGGCATGCACATGCATCCAGTCGAAAAACCCACCGATAATTTCGAGCAAATTCTCAACCAGATGCACATATACCCCCCTCCTCTGGTTTGATCTTGAATCAACAAGATATATACTACTACAGATGGCAGCAGATTAAATTTTTAATTATGATCATTACTACTATGTATCTAGATTCCACATAAATTGTGATGATGGCTCTACACATGAAAATGTCTACTGCACACAATCTTTTTCATTTTCTTCTTTTTTTGTAATTTTCAGTTTAACTAGCGAGACAGTTGGTTCAAATTCATCTTTCTCATTTATAATAATTATATATGCTTCCCAACTTATATTTATGCCATACATCATCATATCACATTACCTTAAGACCAAATTTAGCTCTAGGAGTTCAATTCTGCACAATGGATTGACATATATTACAAGATTTTGGAGATCAGCTACTCTATTGTTCTCTAATCAATTCAAATGACTACACAAGTTCACAATACTAGCACAAGCCAAAACTACGGCTACTAAAAAAGTATGCAGCCTTCTAAATACTATGCTGCTAATCCATGGATATACCAAGAATTAAATTACAAATGTTGTAGGGGTGAACCAATCCCACCACTTGAACAGGCCCACCTCCGGCAATCAAACCATCATCAATATCGCTCGCCAAGAGTCAATATTGGAAAATGTTTATGAATAATTCTACAATAATCCAAAACCTCACGACTAGATATCCCCCACCGTAAATTTGTGATATATCTCATTCAGTATGGGAGATCATTTTTCATCTCAGTAAAATCCAAAAACAGTATGAGCCGCCTAGTATGAACTAAAAAAAGCTAGTGCAATGCAAATGTCTTGTTCATCCCAACATAAACAGCAGAATAACCCACAAGCAGAGAGAACATTGCCAAAACAGCACAAATACAGGATGCTCATTTCTCAAGATTAAGATTTACAGACAAAAACGAGGTTGCCGCATCCAAAAAGGAGTAAGAAATTGAAATTGCAAATTTATTCAAAATATTTACAACATATAGTTATTGCCCTTAAACGCTATAACTTGATAAAAGAAAAATCCATGAACTAAATAGAATTTCCATGTATAGGGGCTGGGCTACAAGTGACGTTAAGGTATGGGGCGAATTTAGTGCTTGTCCTCCTTGGGGATATCCTTTCCAGGTATTTCCTTTACTTTTGTCTTGTCCATTTCCCTGCAACAGCATGAAACATATATAATACACGGACCCTTTCTAAGCTGGGTTTTCGAATCCATCCATGTAACAGAGGTCTACACATCTGAACAATAATATCAATAAAAACTTCAATTTGCTAGCATCTATATGTCTTCCACAATCACTAATGTGCTTGAGGAGGTAACAGCATAAGATGTTAATAAATTGACTCAATTCCAAACAAGTTTCCAACTTTCTTGATAACTCCACCATAGTCTAGTTAAACTAACTGATCCGATTCCAACTTTATAAACAACAAATAACTTCCTGGATGAATAATAGAAAAAGGACTGATCGGGTATCTGGCAGTACATCAATGCATCAATACAGAACATTATTAAACAAACTATGGTGACATTCACCTCATTCACCTATATTGAAACTAACATTGCTCGGATTGGTTGATTCATCCTAAAAATTACAGAATGAAAACAGTTGAAATTATGACCGGGACGACCTCTGATGCGGACAATTTAGCACGGAAATAAACAAATTGAGCGTAAAATTTAAGAATGGGGAATAAAACACATACTTAGCGGCGGAAGCCGATTCTTCTTCGATCCAATTACGGATGTGGCGGACGTTACGGCGGAAGATGGCGGCCGACTGTTTGACATCGCTCCTCAGCAGCAACACGACGGCGGTAACTCCTGCCACAGTCAGTATAAAATTCGTCAGAGCCATTTAGTAGTATGGAATAATTCTTTCTTTCAGAAGGACGATGGTTATCGATCAACGATGAAACGAGTTGTGTGTCAGTAGGGTTTTATCAAGCGTCGGTTGACAATGGAACTCATAAGAACTGGGCCCAATCCATAATTAATTTCCTTAATATTGAAGCCCATTAAATATTAGTCATTCAGGCCTAGTATAGTATCCAAAGGCATGAATCAGACTTGAAGCCCAATATATTCTGAGATTTTATTTTAATAAATAATTAAATAAAATGCATATTCGTCCCACATGTCGTTGGAATATTAAAGGGAAAAAGGTGATATATTCTGTTACAAGCAATTATTGGAGGCAGCAAGAATCTGATCTGCTGCACTCATAATTTATTTGATATATTTATTGTGTGTGAAAGATAATGACATAGATAGATAGAAATAGTGCTGATTAGTAATTAGACTTTATAAATTTTGTTACTTTCGTCCCACAGATAAAAATCGATAAATATATATATTTTTTTTTCACAAAATATTATTTTAATACTAAATTTAAATTAAAATTTTACCAAATTCATAAAAAGAAACATATCCTAAATAATTAAAATATATAAATAATCTAATGAAAATATGGAGGGTCTGCAGAAAAGTAAACACAAGTAATTAACTAAATGAATGCATAAATATTTTTCGATAAAAATTGTACTCGTACACAGCTGAGAGTATAGCAGGTACAGATTGAGGTTTTCTTTTTTCTATTATTTTCTTTTATACATGTTTTTTTTAAAAAAATTAATATTTTATATACATTTATTATTTTTATATATTTTTTTTTTACGTAATTTTCTATTTTGTCTAAAAAAAAATTTCTTTTCAATAATTTCACAAAACAAACACAAAATTATATATAAGACTTAATTATTCACATATTATTTCCTCTTATGTCCGCAACAATTGACCTCATTTTTAATGATAATAATATTTAAGCTAATATTATTTAATTAATTAATAATAATAAGTTATAATATTATTTTAATTAATTAATTAATAATATTGATAATTTAAAAATATATTTAATATATATGATTAAAAAATTAAGAGTAAGTATTTAAATATTTTAAAAATTATATTGCAATAGAAAATATATGCAATATGTTATATACACTTATACGCAACGCATTATACACAAAATATTTTATTAACATTATGTAGACAAGGTGTCGATGTTTCTTATTGGACATAAAAGTCTATACATATATGTACTCTGAATAATACAAATAAAACACATAAGAGTTTCAAAATTTTCATAAATTCTCCTACTCTCAAGACATGGATGTTTGGACATAAAAGTCTATGTATATATATATATACTCTGAATGATAGAAATAAAACACATAAAGGTAATTATTATATAGCACGTTATCAGTACGAAGACTCTTACCTATTTTATTTTTGGTAAATTTTATTTTTATACTATCTATATAATCTATTTTCTGTACTATGAAAAATTTTGCAAAATTTTCTTTAAACCTTTGTCTCTCACCGGTAATAATTTTCTGACTTGATCCCTGGATGTAGAAATGCATCTGGTTTCTATGGACCTTATTCTACAATTGCCAGTGAAAATGCGACTACAAACCAAGATCGAGCTAAGGCTATTATTTTCATTCGTCACCATCTGGACATTCCTTTACAGTTTGAATATTTGACGATGAATGATCCACTTGATTTGTGGAATGAATTGAGGGAGAGATTTGGGCACTTGAAATATATCACTCTCCCCAAAACCCGACATGATTGGCTAAACCTGCGTTTGCATGATTTTAAAACTGTTATAGAGTACAACTCTGCTATCCATCATATTACATCTCAGTTAAAACTCTACGGAGAAATTATTACTGATAATGATAAATTGGAAAAGACTCTCTCTACCTTCCATGCGTCTAATGTTATGCTGCAACAGCAGTATCATGAGAAAAACTTTCAAAATTACTCACAACTTATTGCATGTCTTTTATTAGTTGAGCAAAATAACGAGTTACTGATGAAAAATCATCAGTCCCGCCCCACTGGTTCCAGTCCATTCCCTAAAGCGAACGTGACATTTTCTAAACGAGGCCAAGGACGTGGTCGCAGTCGTGAGAGTCAACGTGGTCGATATATCCTTTACAATCGCCGCAGTTTTGACATTAACAGGATGCAGAGTAAACCCCAATATGGGGATATAGCCGAAAATGCTAAACAAGGAAAAAGACAAATCGACATTTATAATCGGTGTGACATTGAAGGTCATTGGGCCAATACCTGCAGAACAACCAAACACCTAGCCGATCTTTATCAAGACTAATCACGTTGATAACGATGACGACCCCGATGATGATCTTCTGGATTATGACACAACGTATCTTGATATAACGGATTTTTTCGTAGATCCAACAAACCCCAAGTGATAGACATATTATGTCATTTTACATTTATGTTATTTTATATTTTGTATTATTTAAATTATTGCATATTACCTTTTCGTAATGTATTTTGTAATATTTATATTTGCATTTATTAATACTGCATTTATTTATATTTGAAGGTTAAATGGATGCCAATCAAAATGATGCAAATATGTGTTTCATTGACAGTGCAACGACACATACAATATTGAAACACGAAAATTATTTCTCCCATTTGAAAAGAGAAAAGGTGAATGTCAATACAATACATGGCAATGCAAAATTAATGGAAGGCTCTAGAGAAGCCATTATATTTTTCCCTGCGGGGACGAAAATTGTGATACAATATGCACTGTTGGCCACTAAAGCTCGAAGAAATTTACTGAGCTTTCATGACATTCGAAAAAATGATTATCACATTGAAACTACGAGTGATACCGATGGTGAATTTTTATTGATCACCAATATTATTAATAAAAAGAAATGCCTCATTGAGAGATTACCCTCACTCTCTACTGGTTTATATTATGCCAGATTAGGTGTTGTAGAAACACACCTCACGGTAGATCAAAAGACTACCGATTTTCAAATATGGCATGATCGCCTTGGGCATCATTAAGTATAATAATGAGTCGAATAATTGAGAATTCATATGACCATTCATTAAAAGGTCAAAAAGCGTTTAACTCAAATGAGTTAACCTGTGTTGCATGCACTCAGGGAAAATTGATAACCAGACCATCGCCAGCTAAAGTAGGTATTGAATCACCTACATTTTTGGAAAGAATACACGGGGATATATGTGGACCAATAGACCTAGCATGTGGGCCATTTAAATATTTTATGGTGCTTATTGATGTATCTACCAGATGGTCACATGTTTTTTTTATCATCTACTCGCAATATGGCATTTGCGAGATTCCTTGCACAAATTTTTAAATTACGGGCACAGTTCCCCGATAATTCAATTAAGACTATACGTCTGGATAATGTTGGTTAATATACATTGAATGCATTTGATGATTATTGCATGTCGATTGGAAGTAATGTAGAACACCAAGTTGCTCATGTTCATACACAAAATGGTCTGGCAGAATCACTTAATAAAAGATTGCAATTGATTTCTAGACCATTACTGATGAGGTCTATGTTGCCCGTTTCGGCTTGGGGGCATGCAATCTTACATGCAGAAATACTCATAAAAATGAGGCCAACAAGCTATCATAGCTATTTCCCCATGAAATTAGTATTTGGTCACGAACCAAATATATCTCATCTACGTATTGTTTGGTGTGTTGTTTATGTTCCTATTCCACCCCCCGGAAACGGCGCCAAATTATAACAAGCAATTTTTGTAGTTCAATTACATAGAATTTTTGGTCGAAATAAAAGTGCAGTGGATTATTGTAAGTGGTCAGATATAGATTAAAATATGTGGTCGTAGAACCTGAATAATTTATTATAATTATTTATACTCTTTAACTGGTGAGTTTCTAGGTCGAATACAGGGATTTAAGTCGCAAAATTTAATCAATTATCAATCTAGTGAAATGCGACGGAAAAGTAGAAGAGAGGCTCGCTTACGAGCAAACCCAAACAAAACTAGATAAGAACATAATGTAAAGAAAGTGATAAAGGTGAGTGGAGGTGAGCAAAGTGAACTGATGGATGATGAAGGCAGTGAAAGTGGTTTGTGAGCGGATGTGAGCGAGGGAGATGAGTGTGTAATATATATATATGTCGAGCGATAAAGGGTGACCAAGAGGTGTGGTGTCGACGCCCAGAATTTGAACATTATAAGCAAGATTCTTTACTGTCACTAGAAATTTATGTGACCCAGTAGACAAGCGTATGTGCCCCGTTAATTATTCTAATTTTTGTCTCATTAGTGGTTTTACTCTTCTTTTACCTCTTTTTAATCAAAATCGAATTTAGATCAATAATTAAGTAGGTCGACAAGGCTCCCGCGTACTTAACTACATTGAACCACCCTGAATCTGTTAATGAATACGATGCGAAACAGGGCTTAAATAGTCTATTCTTCTCTGTTCTTTCTCAGCGACTCAAGATTCTTTATGACTCAGATTTATACAAATGTGAAAAAGGGGAAGAAGTGCCGATGAAGAAAGATTGATATTCATTACTTACTATGGAAAATAGTAAAACTCTCCAAAAGGAAACACGAAAAAAACGGTAAACCAAAGCTATAAACTAGAACTAGAAAGCAGTAAAGTAGCGGCCAGAGGAGAAGAATCTCAACTCCTCTGGCCATTCCTGCTGAGAACTCCCTTACAGGGTTAGAGCTCTCGGGAGGCAGGAAGTTAGCTACGAAGAATGCAAAAAGGTACAAGTGTATACTCTTTCTTTAAAGTATATTTTACAAGGTATATTTGGCCCTATTTATAGCTAGATGGGATAGCAGTTGCGAGCAGTTGAGAAGTCCTTTCAACCGCTGGGCAGTTAAGCAGTTGACAACGGTTATTCTGTTAAAGCAGTTGAACTGGCCGTAACTTCCAGGATGCTCGCTTCGCTTGTTTTGACATGTAAAGGCACAGATCTTCCTCAGTTGCCTAGGTGGCTCGAGGACATCAGCACAGCTAAGCGAAGCTATCCTTGTTGGCTAGCAGTGGAATGGCTT